CAGAAGCCAGGACAACAGGAGCAGCTAACCCTCCTCCTCCTCTTCCTCCTCCTCCTCTTCCTCCTCCTCCTTCATATGGACGTCCAGCACCAGCCTGCTGACCCTGGAGGTTCTGCTGCCTCAGAGATACCAACCCTGAAATTAACAACCTGCCCTCCTCTTCCTCCTCCTCCTCCTCCTCCTCCTCTGCTCCGTTTTATCTCCCGCCTTTCATTCCTCCCTCCACCCGTCATTCTCTCTTCTTCAACTCTTTGTCTTCTTCTCATTCAGATGTTCTAACCTCTCTCTCCACCTCTTACTGGGTTTTTTCCTTCCTTCTTTGTCATGACGCCGCCCTGGAAATAACATTCCTGACATGATTCCAAATGAATATAAAATGTTTTGTTGCTCTCGTTTCTCCTCTTTCTGCTCATGCAGCTGTAAGGAACAAGGCAGCATTTCAACCAAACACCAAATATTCTCCTCTCTGAAATACCCAAAACCTTCATTTTACCATTTATTTATGTTCATCAATATTTAAATATTAACCATTAAAAATTGCTTTTAAAGGTATTATCCAGTTTGTGACGCCAATTAAAGTCTTAATATAGTAGTAGAAATATTACTGGAACAATAATTACAGAACTCGCTGCACTAGAATTAAACGTTTACATAATAAAAGGATCCTTTGATTTTTTACAGTGTTCCAACTCTGGATTTCAGTTTTTTTTCTTTATTTACATTGTTGAGTTTGTTAAAAGGCTGGAATCAAATGATTACCAGAAACCACATAAACCTGAGCATTTTCAGTAAAACTTTGGGGTTTTAGATTTTTGTTATTTCTCCTGTCATTTTAAGATAAAAACACTTTAATCATGTTTTTGCCACATTATGTTGATATATCAGAGGTTTAATTCTTAATATAACAGGTTTATGCTTTTATTTGGAGACAGAAGTGACAATAGCTGCAAACATGAATCATAGATGATAATAAAGACTCCAAATGGTTCATGTTTTATTCATACATTCAGTTTTTCAGATATATGAAACTCCTTTAACAGTTTATCTTTAGAGAGCCAGAAGAATCTAAAACCTGGATATTTTCTCCATATTTCGTGTTTCTCCTCTCCCGCTGCGGTCCAACCAGAACCAACCGGAGCGGTTCGGTTCGGTTCGGGCTGGAGGTGGACGGATCTCCAGGGAGCGTCTTCAATCAGAGGCAGCGCCGCATCAATCAACCTGCCTTCACACAGCAGAGCTGCGATTAGACAGGAAACACCTGGGAAAACAGGTGTGCACCGCCGAAATCCTTCCCCAGCGCCGCAGCTTTCAAGCTTCAGTGAATTTAAGGACTGTTTGATTCAGCAGCCAATCAGCATACAGCCAATCAGCATACAGCCAATCAGCATGCAGCCAATCAGCATGCAGCCAACCAGCATGCAGCCAATCAGCATGCAGCCAATCAGCATGCAGCCAATCAGCATGCAGCCCATCAGCATGCAGCCAATCAGCATGCAGCCAATCAGCATGCAGCCCGAACGGAGGCAAAACCTTTTCTGACTCTGATGACGATAAACCACCATCATTATGGAACCTGGCATCGTGATTATCTGTTAAGAAGAAAAGGTCCAAAGTTCTGACCAGAACCGGATCTACAGGCTCTGCTGGACCTGGAAATCCTCCAGGCTCAACAAGATGGCAGCATGACGTAGTTTAGCTGAGCCGAGCGACAAGAATCATTAACATTTGTTCTGCTAATGCTAACGCTACAGGGCTATAGCGCTACAGTGATGCATTCTGGGTACAGGTTAAAGGTACAGTAATTTGCTAAACCACGCTGCAGGTGGACAATGGGAGGAATGCAGGAATATTCTGGATGAATATGACAAACTTTTTCTATCAAAAGATTAAAAATGGCACAAATGGCTGTTTTATTTTGAATGCAGCAACCCGCAGATATTATGTTCATACTTTGTTCTCTACTGTGCAGGTTTTATTTTGTTACTGTACGTTTCAGACTTTAAATTATTGGGGGAACAAAAAACGAGAGGAAATAAAACTGCTGCACAAAGAGACTTCAAAATAAAAGCATAAGCATCTTGATAAAAGTCAAAAACCAAAACTTCAACACATGTTGAAATTTATCCAAAAACAGCTAAGTAGGTTAGCTCTTGAGAGTTTGTTTAAAATTTGTTTAGAGGCAGCTAAGTGAGCTAAATGTTTAGCAATGCTAAAGCAGCAAGCTAACGGTTTGCTTTGCTATCAGCACAATAGCAGTAGCATGTTCACCACAGTTTATAAATAGCTTCCTTGTTCTCATTAGCTTAAACATCAGAAATGTTAATGTAGGCTAAAAGTTTTTAAAAAGTATAGCACATTTAAAATACTCCTAAAAGTAATTTTTTCAGCAAAGTTACTTGAGTAACTAGTTACCACCAAGCTTTGGTAGCTTTGGTAGCTTTGGTAGCTCCTGCTGTTCCTCCAAACAGTAAAATGAGTCGTTGGGTCGGTTAAAGTATCGCTCTGCATCGAACCGGCCCTCAGCTCCTCCATCACTGTTTCCAGAACCTCCTCCGGCTCCGGCCCGCACATGGCCCGCATGGATCCGGCCCCTCTGTCTGCAGATGAATTGATCCGGCTGCCTCCTCTCAGCCCGTTGATTAATGGCGTCGTGCGGCGCAGCTTCAGGTTGCTGCAGGTTGGAGAGGAGACGGAGCCTGGCTGAGGAGTTCAGGAACTCCATGATGAGCGCGATGACACGGAGAGACGGGCAGCTGCTGCTGGAACCAGGAATGAAACCAGACGGAGACACGACCAGGCTCTAATTGGTGCGGTGAACTGACTCCTGAAGCCTTCTGATTGGACAACAGCAGCGATAAATCAGCAGGTTTTACTCTGCAGATGAAACAAAGCTGCAATGCAGCCGAACCGGATCAATATCAAGTATCAGCAGGAGCTTATAACGATCAATGATCAGTTCAGATAACAGGATGGATGGATGACTGATGGATTCATTTACCCATTCATTTTTCTATTATTTTAAATTAATTCATTTTATTTTCATTTCTTTCATAAATCCCTGACTGGTTCAACCAATGTTAGTTTAATGAGAGATCACCAATCCAACATCATGCAAACTCCAGTTTATTAAATTAATTTAAACTTATTTAAATTCATGTTTAATAACAAACCAGACATGGATCTGGAAATGATAAACGTGGAATTTCCTCTGATTTTGTGGCTTTTACCGCATCGTTCCTGTGAACCTTTACGAATTGACTGTAAAGAAAATCTGAGCTGGAGAAAGTAAGAAATGGCTTCAGGTTGATTTTCTCGTATTGAATAGAAAATAATGGGACAGAAAAAGATCACAATTTCTGCCTGATGGGTCAGGATGTGTTGAATTTTACAGAAGGTCTTTAGAGTCACTGAGTGGTCAGTGAATGCAGCATCAGACCAGGGAGGAAGAGGCTGAGGTACCTCTTGATCAGGGGTGTACTTAGTTTAATTTAACCAGGACTGGATCTGTGAAAGTGATGTTTCTGGTCCATCCGGTCTTCAGGTCCAGGTTAGAGTCTGCAGCCTCTCAGGTAGCTGCTCAGGTCTCGGTTCTGACAGTGAGTAGTCCAGGCCACCCTGAAACCAAACACACTGTTACCAGCGACGGTCCAATCAAAGTAAAGCAGTCTCACTGCACCACATGACCCACCATGCCCTGATGCCGTTGGGGTCCCTGACGACCCGTTTGGCGCAGGTGATCGCCGTGGTCACATCGTCCGTCTGGAGTTCTGTGGGAAGATTCAAAAACTGGAACTTCTGGTTTCCAGGAGAACTCCCAAAGTAAACATGAGGATTCAACGCTTACGGCTGCAGTTGATGCCGCATCCGTTGGATCTGGAGACTCCGCCGTCTCTGCACCAGTACTTGCTGTTGATCTGGAAGATGCCGTAGTCGGTGGAGCCGTCTGTGTTGCGGTTGGTGGCTCTGGTGTTGAAATGTGACTCGTGTTGGGTCAGACAAACCCCTACAGACAATCAGGAAACACCATGAGAGGGAGGAATGGATCAGTTGTCATTGGAGTAATTATTGGACATTTAGGAGTAATGATTGTTGTCTCTCCCTTCATAAATCCCTTCAGGGGTTCAAGGGAACTGGAGTCTATCGCCAAAGATCGTTGAGCAAGGGACGATGTCTAGAGTGGAAACTCTCAAGAAAAGCAACATCTACCACTGACAACGAGCTGAACACGACCTGGAGGCGACTGGACGTCCAGGAAACCAGGAAAACCAAGAAATGCAAAGGGAGAACATGGAAACTCCATCCAGAAAGACCCTGGACCTTCTCACTTTAGGGTCTGTAGGTTCAGTTCTTGGTGACTCTTTGGGCTGAACTGACCAGACAGCAGCAGCAGCTGATCCAACAAAAGAGATCCAAACCAACCCAACATCTACATCATTCTTAAACCTTAATTCACATTAAGAATCAACCATTTTCCAAGTGGAACCAATCAGAGATGGATGCTGATGTTGACGTCTCTGAAAACCAGGAAATGATTCATAAAAGGACTGAAGATGAAGGAAAACAAATGTTTTACACCCCAACAAGCAGCTTTATTAAAGGTACATCTGACTCCCATTGCAGCTAACAGCTGATGGTTCTGTACTTACAGTCGGCCAGGCTGATGCCGCGGTAACCGTCCATGCCACTGGCCTTCAAGGTGCGCGCCCAGGCACAGCGCTCAAAGACTTTAGCGTTGGCCACGGCCACCAGCAGCAGCAGCAGCAGGGTCTTCGTCATCTTCATCCTCTGGTCCGAATGTTTTCTCTCCTGGTTTCCAGTCGATGTGCTCACCTTGAAGGTCTGTGGCGGCTTTAGCTGCTTCCTAATCTGATTGAAAGTCGTCCAAATTCAACAAGGAGCAGAGAAACATGACGCTCTGATTTGGTCCCAGTTTCACTGGGAATTTGAACTTTGTATGTTTTTCAGTGTGGAAATAGATCAAAGTCCAACAAACTGCAACATTGTGCAAGAAAATGAGCCCAGAACAAATGTTAACATTTGGTGAAGGTTTGATAAAATATTGGTTCAGTAATTTGTGTCAGGATCAAAGTTGATTCTGTTTTCACTGGTTTCTTCTTTGCAGGTGATTTTATTGGCTGGCAGCTCCAAACGCAAATATTTCAACATATCAAGTTTTAAATGTGAAATAATCAAAGTGAAGGCTGATTCAGATTGTTACATAAACAGGGAGCAACACGTGTCACAGCCTGCTTATGTTAGCTACCGTAGCACTTTAGCTAACTTTGAAAATGTTTAGCGCACTTAGCTTCCTCTGACTTAATGTTACCAGATAATGCTAAAGCGCTAATTTACCTGGCTGCTTTGTAAACAGATGGATGGATGGATGGATGGATGGATGGATGGATGGATGGATGGATGGATGGATGGATGGACGGATGGATGGTAACCGGAGAAGATGATAAGCAGAGGTCATGACCCTGGTAACTCGAGAGGCTCCAGCTCCTGGTTCATCTGTTCGGTTGTGGATGAAACCTGGAACGTTTCTTTCTAAACCCATCAGTCATATTCAGCTGGTAGAAGTGATATTATTATTATTATTATTATTATTATTATTATTATTATTATTAGGGCTTCTCATGGGTGACGTCATCGCCTTCCCCCGGGACGTTTTTAGTTTTTAATCAGAGGTTTAGTCCCGCAGAGTGACGGCTGCTGCTGCAGCTCCATCCCTCTTTAGGTTTCCTCCACACATACAGACGTTTCTCACTTTAAAATACAACTTTATAAAAATTCTGATTATATTTAAATAAACTTTTTGAAGGTGGAAACAAAACTCTGGTCTCCGCAGGTGAACCTGGGAGCTTTTCACTGAGGTTTGCTTTAAATAACTTTAAATACATGAAAGGTTGAAAGTGTTTTTGGTCTCAAAGTGTTTTGAACAAAATCCCAGTTTGCTGCCAGACTGGTTCGACTGGATCACCAAGTATTTCAAGCTGAAGTTATGAGCTACGGCAGCCTGTTAGGGCCACTGTACATAGAAACAAGAAGTACATTTCTATTAAAAAAAACTAATTTTTTACAAAAAAAAAATAGGACATTTCTGAGAAAACTTACTAGAAAACACACTTACTACAATTTTTAGATTAGTCTCTGAAATTTTCTAAAAAAAAATAATCAGAGATTGAACAAATTTTCTAGATTAATCTCTGAAATCTTATAGAAAATCGTGAAAATTTCTGAGTTTGAAAAGTCACAAATGTTCTAGGAAAAAAAATAAACATTTTTAGGTGAAAAATCACATAATTATTAAATATAGACATTTTTTAGTTTGAAAAGTAAAAAAAAAAATCTCAGAAATATCTAGATGAATCTAAAAAACTAATAGAAGAACCTGGAAATGTCCAGGCCTTAAACTGTGACTTTTCCAGCTTCATTTTAATGATTTTCCCAGAAAATCTCCATAAGAAAGAGAATAGATCATTTTGGAGGTAGAGCTGCGTTTCCATTCTATTCTGTCCGGTTCTATGACGGTGGTTTCCTCTGACAGGAAGTCATCTGCTGGAAAACCAGAAACACAAAGCAGAACCAAACCGGCTTTTAGGGAAGTTGTCTGATTTTCTGTTGGTCGTATTGAAAGTTGCCTGCAGTGCCGCTGCAGGAGCCGCAGAGTTTCCTTCTGTTTCTGCAGCAACAGGTCGAGTCGAGCCGAAGCCATGAAGGTTCTGGTGGTTCTGGTGGTTCTGCTGCTGGCGGCGGTTCTGGTGGACGGCAGAGTGTTTGAGCGGTGCCAATGGGCCCGAACCATGAAGAGCAACGGGATGGACGGATACCGGGACATCAGCCTGGCCAACTGTAAGCCGGACAGAGACTGATTATTGATTATTACCCATAAACCACATTTTGACCAACAGGACAGTTTTCTGGTTTCAAACCAGATCAGAAAACCGGATCATTTCTGGCTTCTGGCTATAATTAAATACTTTAAAATAAACTAATCAGACTGAAACATTTCTAAAAATCTAATATTTACCTAAAATTAGATCTATGATCTACTTAGAGGAGAAAATAAGAAATAATCACAGTAAACTAAATTACTGCTGCCACAGTTATTGGCACAATTATAAATATTTGGCTAAATATTTATATGGAGGCTCAAAATTTAGTTTATTTAGATCTGATCAAAATATGTAGTTTGAATATTTACTTAAACTAAATATTTACCTTTAATCTAAATATTTCTAAGTATTTATACTAAATATTTAGCCCAGTGGATAGAGATAAATATTTAACCTTAATCTAAATATTTAGCTCAGAGAAAAATAATTTGCCTAGAATAAATAAAACTGTGACATTTATAAATGAATAACAGAGGAAATGTGACATTGACCCTTTAATGACTAAATAACCCAAATTATTGCTGTTAACTTTACAAATGACCGCTTCCCATAAACACTAACATGGACGACAGGCTGCGATCTCTAACTGTTGGATGCTTCGGTAACCGCCTGCTGACCCTCTGCTGGCCGTTCAGCTGGAGTTTAAACAGGAAACTGGTTTTGTCTTCAGGGATGTGTCTGACTTACTGGGAGTCAGGATACAACACTTTGGCTGTCAACCACAACCGGGACAAATCCACCGACTACGGCATCTTCCAGATCAACAGCCGCTGGTGGTGCAACGACACCCAGATCAGAACCGCCAACGGATGTCACATCATGTGCGAACGTAGGTCAAGAACCTCCAGCTTTAAAACCAACACAACAATCCTCAACACGAAGCAAAATGTGTGGAAAGTACTCAAACATGGCCACACATTTATCTGTAATCGTCTAGACCAGGCTAATGTGTAGCTTAGCTTAGCTTATATGAAGCCACTAACTGAACAGTTAGGAGTTAACTAACCCTGAAGCGCTAATCATGAAACATTAGCTCTGCTAACATGCTATACCAACATGGTATTTAGCAGAAGCTAACTCTAAAGTGCTATATTAACACAGGATTTATTGGAAGCTAATGCTAAAGTGCTAACTTCAATTGATATTCTATCTGCTCTTGAAAAACTACAACTTTCAAACACCAATTTAATTTCAACATAATTTCCATGTTCCATAAAGTGCTTAGATATTCTATTTGTGTTTCTATTTTGTTCTCTACTGTCTGTGTTTTGATTTGTTCCTGTTTCTGGTTTTAAATAAAGTTACTGGGGAAAAAGAGAGAATGTGAAGACAGGAAACATAACAGACTTCAAAATAAGAGCATGAATATAAACTACTGGAAGAAATCTTAAATTCTTACAGATGTCAAACTTTATTCAACTGAAAGTTTACAAAACAGCTAACTAAATTAGCTCTTGATAATTTATTCAGAACAATTAATTTAGGGGAAGTTAAGTGCGCTAAATGTTAGCAAAGTTAGCAAAAGCACTAATTAAAAAATTAACTAGCACCAACTGGCTTGGCAGGTTTTTAATGTTTTCTTTCTGTCGGAGTAAACGAGGCGTTTTTTCTGCACCAGAGCTGCTGAGTGACGATGTGGGCGTGGCCATCAGCTGTGCGAAGCGCGTCGTCAGGGACCCCCAGGGCATCGCGGCCTGGTGAGGTCACGTGACCAGCCTCGGCTGATCTGCTGTTTAAAAAGCTCTGATGACGTTTTCCTCTGTCTGGCTGCAGGGTGGGCTGGCGGATGCACTGTAAAAACCAAGACGTGAGTAAATATTTGCAGGGATGCGGCCTGGATTCTTCATTTCTTTAAACCAGGAAGAAGAAAGTCGGATCAAAATGAAAACTTCATGAAAGCTGATTAAATCTGTTCAGAATTAGATGATACAATCAGAAGATGTGACAAAGTTCTGTTCTATTCTCAGTTTCAGTTCAAATTAAAAAGTTGATTTTTGACCTGGTGTCTTTGTGTTGTTTTTAGTTGTCTGAGGCCCAGATGTCTGTATTTCAGCTTTGCATTAAGAATTCATTTTGTTCCTGTTTAGCTTCAAATCACCAGCATTTATTTGTCTGTTTTCTTCTACTTCAGCTTTTGAATTTCCTTCCTCAGAAACGGTTCTGTTTACTAAAATCTCCCTGGTTTGTTCCCACTTTTGGTGCTATTTTTGTTATATATGTACTTTCATCATCAGCGTAGAACTGTACAGTGGCTGGATTTAATGTTTTGACGTAATTATCCTGTAAAACCCTGAAAGCTATTAAGGGATGCTAAATGTTTGCAAACCAGAGTTTGTGCCTTTTTCTATTTCCAGAACGAGATGCAATTAAGATGAGAGCTTAAATCAGATCAATGGAGAAAATCTTCTGCAGTAATATGTATGATCATGTGTTTAAAAGCCACAGTCAATGCTTTGGTTACTTACAGACGGACCTGCTGATTGGCTAACGGGTCTCAGGTGTGAGGGAGAGAAAGTGGCACAGTGGGCGAGAGAGAACAGGAAATAAGGTCAGGAAATAAATCTGACACTAAGGAAGATCTAAGAAACAACTAGAATCACTAAGAAACTAGCAATGAAGCACCCTGACAGAAACCACCAGGGTTGCTATACTAACATTAGCGTGTTAGCATCGAGCTAACAGGCTAATCTGGTCCAAACTGGCAGGAGTTTGGAGGAAATACTATTTTTAATAGAGGAAGTGAAAAGATGTAAAATCTCCAGATCTGTGAAACTGAGGAGGTTTGGCAGCAGATGGCCAGAAGAGGAACCAAACTGGATGGAGGAAACAGGAAGTGAAACCAGATCAGGAACCAAATCACACTGCTCAACAATTTCAGATCACATGGGTCCAACTCAAGGCTCGGGGGCCAAATGTGGCCCGCCACAGCTCCATATGTGGCCCTTTAGGCTCCAGATGCTAAATAACAGCAACCAGATCCTCCAGTTCTCTGGGACCATAGAAACTCACATGAAGTTACTGGTTCTGATTGAGTTACTGGTTCTGTTTGGGTTACTGGTTCTGTTTGTGGTGCTGGTTCTGATTGAGTTACTGGTTCTGTTTGTGGTGCTGGTTCTGGTTGAGTTATTGGTTCTGGTTGAGTTACTGGTTCTGTTTGGGTTACTGGTTCTATTTGGGTTACTGGTTCTGTTTGTGGTGCTGGTTCTGATTGAGTTACTGGTTCTGATTGTACTGGTTCTGTTTGGGATGCGGGTCATGGTCGGTGCTGGAAGCTGGGAGTCGTAGTTCTGGAGCTGGTTAGAAACTGGCAGCAGAAAGTCATTAGCTGATGCTAATGAGCACCAGCAGCCTGATGTTATCAGAACCAGAGTCCAACATCTGGATGGGAAACAGTTCATCAGCCCGGTTCTGGAGGACCGGGTCAGGAGGTCCGGGGCCTCCCTGTTGGAACCATTTGTGCGCTATAGATTTTAATTTTGTAGCCTCGTGAGCCCCAGTTGTTTTGCTAAGGCTGCAAAATTAAAATGTTCTTTTGTGTTTTTCTTAAATGCTACAGTTTTGTTTTGTAATTTTTGCTGATTCGGTTTGATTTGGACCAGAACTCCATCACCTGCTCCACCTCCAGCTGCTGTGGTTCTGAGTCAAACCAACCTGTTCCCCTCCTGGCCTGTGGGGGCGCTGCACCAAGAACCACTGAAGGAAACGACACAAAAACCTCTGAAGACACTGAGAGCAACTTCCTTCTTCACCAGATGGAAACGTCAGATTTTAGCGGTTGGAGCCATTTCTGCTGCCAGCGCTAGGCTAGCATGTTAGCTTTGGTTGTATTTACCCAGAATGCCCTGCGCTGTAGTCCACTTCTTGCTTTTGGAGCGGCCTCTGTTCTGTTCACTTCAACCAAACCCAGCCTGAAGTTAGTAGACAGACCAGAGTTAGCTTAGCATTCACACCTCCCAAACCAAACTGGACTTTTTAGACAACGGACTGGAGTTGGATTAAAGTAGATTATTCAGAACTGGTGTGAAAGACATGACATTTTGCACCTTTTTGGCCCTGTTGAGGCTCCATACATAAGGATTCAGATTGTCAGATCCATCCTTAGTGACGGTGTGAGATAAACGCTGGTCTCCACGTTACTGTTTACATGATGCATGCGCTCATCAGAGTCACTGCTTACTCTGGTGGCACAAAGACTGACGGATTCAGTTTCTGAGTCAAACTGAGTGAAGAGTGACTCACAGGTAACATGGTTCCCAAAATGTGGGTCAGGACCCAGAAATGTGCTCCAACAGCAGCCAGAAGCAACAAAAATCACCAAATTCAGGCAGAACTTCAGATTTTTCACAGGTTTATGTTCATATTTGATGTTTCTGCATAATTTTGGAGAAATTTAAACCTAAAATCTAACATTCGACCTGTCAGGGAAAAGATATCCAAATGTCCCGTTTGTTCCAGGAAGTCCCCCGACTTCCAACCGGATCAGAAGAACCACAAAGAAACTGAATATAATCTCTTTATTTACTCCAGTTCAGGAAATATACACTAAAGTTCTCTGAAGGTATAAAAATTTGTTTTAAATAAGTAATTATTCTGTTTGATATGTCTGTAAATTCTCATAATTATTAAATGAAACCCTGAAGATGTGAAGCTCCTCCAATCAGGAGCTCAGAGAGTTAGCAGAGTTAAGCTGTCCTGCAGGCTGGTCCGGGGCCAACATGGCGTCAGTCTGAGGAGGCGGAGTCAGTGAGGAGGCGGAGAAACGGAGGAGCTGGAGTCCATAAGAGGCGAGGTCACCAGGAGGCGAGGTCACCGGGAGGCGAGGTCACCAGGAGGCGAGGTCACCGGGAGGCGAGGTCACCGGGAGGCGGGGTCACCGGGAGGCGAGGTGAGGCGAGGTCACCGGGATGCGAGGCGGGGTCACCGGGAGGCGAGGTCACCAGGAGGCGAGGCGAGGTCACCGGGAGGCGAGGTCACCGGGAGGCGGGGTCACCGGGAGGCGAGGCGGGGTCACCGGGAGGCGAGGCGAGGCGAGGTCACCAGGAGGCGAGGCGAGGTCACCGGGAGGCGGGGGCTGGTTGAAGGCTTTGGTTGCTGGTTTGGATCCGTCTGAGCTGCTCCGGGTCCAGGCGTATAAACGGTTTCCTGAGCTGAGGAACCTGAGGAAGCAGACCGGGTTCTGGTCGGAGCGGGCCGGGTTTAATCTGGATTTGGTTGAAGGTGGAAACCCTGAGGATGGTGGGCAGGAGGACCTGAGGACAGAAGGAAGACGTTGATAATCTTCAGACATTTGAACCCGTTTCTTGTTTCAGCTCCTTAACGACTAAGAGACGTTTTCATACGTCACCACCACTTACGACAGAAATCAATTAAGTTATACAAAGAAATCAAAGATATATAAGAAACGACAAAATCAAGTCAAAGGAAAATAAACAGTAGTGGGCCCAGAACTGCGCCTGGTTCCACTTTTAATAACCTGGGAAGACCCAGATGATGATGTCACAGCTTCTGATTGGTTATTTCTCAACACAGGTTGGTAACAAACTGGTTCAAAGGACAAACAGGACGGTAGTGACCCGGTCACCGGTTCTGACAGGAGAAACAGGCCGAAAATCCAGCAAACTACAACAAATAGACACTTCACTGAGGGAAACGTCCTCCATTTGTCCTACTCTCCCGTTTCATTTGTTTATGTAGCTGCAGCTACAGCGTTCTGATTGGCTGAGATTCCTGACATAGGCTGACATGATGCTGCCATCACCGAATCGTTTTCACTCTGATGCAGGGTCCGTTCTTCTGCTCTGTCTGCAGGCGGCTGCTGGTACTGAGCCCGGTTCTGGTCCTGCTGTTAAAGGGGGGTTTCCTCTCCACTGTCGCCTCAAGCTTTTTCAGCTAATCTGAATATAAACTGAACTTTCTGGACTGTCTGTCCGTCTATGGAAACATCTGGTTTCAGCTGCAGGTCAATTTATCCGTCGTCTCCAACTTTAATCAGAGGAAAACATCCAAATGCTTCTGCATTCATCCATGTTTTCCTTGCTGCAGACTGGTTTTCTGACTGGTTTATCTGATGCAGACTGGTTTTCTGACTGGTTTATCTGATGCAGACTGGCTGACTGTCCAGAGGAGCTGATTCAGGCAATTTTCAGCTGCTGCTAATTAGTGAATGTTGAAGCACAGAGAATTATCTATCTGCTTCAAAGTCCTTCAGAGACAGTGTGAGTGTGTGTGAGTGTGAGAGAGAGAGAGAGAGAGAGAGAGAGCGGCCTCGATCAGGCTGCAGATTATCAGGATTTCCTAATTATTAGGAGTAATGAAGACGGAGTCGTGGATTATGAGGCTGAATCCTGAAAACCCTGCTGCAGACGCAGAGAGACGCTGAACAATGCAGAGTCCATCACCAAGTGTGTTCAGCAGCGGTGGGGGAGGGGCAGCAAACAGAACCACACACTGGACCCGGCAGCAGAAACACGGACTGTTTCTGCATCAAATATTAGAAATAATGAAATTATTGAAGGTATTCTGCTGATTTCAGGCACAATATTCCTCATAGTGGAACTTTTTTATAGTTTTCAGACAAACTTCAGCAGCTTAGGTGGCAGACAGAGTCGAGCAGAACCGTCTGCTGCAACAGAGACACGAGACGGAACCAAAACAAATGAGCTGAAACCAGCAGAAACCAGTTAAAACCGACTGAACTGGACCAAACCACCCAACATCGGCTGAAACCCTGAGAAACCAGTTCCTGTCCCCCAGTTAGACCAACAACCTGATGATTTTCCAACATCAGATATGGAGTTCATCTGCTGTTCATCCCTCATGTTTGCTCATCTTCTTCCTCCGTCTCCCCTCAGCGTGTTGCTGCCCCCTGCTGGCCGTTTATGATCTAAACTGGCTGCTGGCTGCAATCACTCCTCCACTCTCTCAGCCTCTTTCAGCACACATGGCTAGCATGTAGCTAATCTACACACACACACACACACACACACACACACGGCTGCATTAACAGCAGGTAACATCAGGACAAACATCCTGACAGATTGAGTCAGCAACTGAACAGACAGTGAGACGTTCTCACCGTCTGTTCAGTTTGGGAATCTGTTCAGTTTGGGAATCTGTTCAGTAGCTGCTGTTTTATGCTCTTAATGCACCGATCCATGTGCCAGAGATCAGAACCATCAGAACCAGCCTGATTTTACCAGAATCATCTGCACCAAGAAAAGCTGTGAATTGGTGCTATGGGCAGGCCCCAAATATTAGTAACGATGACATTTTACCAAAAAACATCTTAGATTAAAGGAAAAACGTTGTTTTCATGAGAAAAAGGCTCCAGGAACAAATGAAGTTACTTCTGTGTGTTCAGTAATATTTCAGCTTTATTCTCGTATCACTTTGATTTTATTGTCTTATGACCTTATTCTTGTAAAAAAAAGAAAACCCAGCCTGATTCTGATGTTTGTGTCTGGAGTCGACCTGAACTCAAAGTCCAAATAAACAGAGGCTGTAAAACGCTGGTCAACCAAGATGGCCGCCGTGGCAATCAGGAGTCTTGCTCTCAAACTGAACATTTAAGATGTTGCGTTGGATGGCTGCTGGATTCTTCCCGTTTCTCTCCTTCACATGAACCCACCGACCTTGTCTGCATCACAGTTACCACGGTAACCAGGTCGCCCTGCCTCACCTGTCCGTCTTTAGGCCGTTTTTCCATGCAGCAGTTCCCGGGAGTTTTCGGCGGCTCTGGCCAAGCCGTCGGCCGTCAGCGCCTCCTCCAGGCTGCGGCGGGCCTGGTACACCTTCAGCTCCTGATCCCTGCCAGAACACACAGAACCGGGTCAGAACTGCATCTGAGCCGCTCCAGAACTTCTCCTTCGTTACGAACCGTTTCCGTCTGGGCGGATCTGGTTCTCCTCAGCAGAACAGAAACATAAACCAGGATTTATTAGAGTTCGTTTAGAATCAACACGTTCTCACAGTCTGTTCATTTTGGGAATCTGTTCAGGAACTGTTCAGTTTGGGAATCTGTTCAGGAACTGTTCAGTTTGGGAATCTGTTCAGTAGCTGCTGGAATTAGGATGTAGAGGCGATACTGGACAAGAACCAGAAGAACCACAGACCAGAATGTTCCTGCTTTAATTCACATGAAGAAGAAAAACACAAAGAGGAAGAGGAGGGGGAAGAGGAATGGGAGCAATTTGGGATGACAGGCACATTCAGCCGGAGAGACGGAGAAAGAATGAGAAATTAATGGAGGGAAGAGATAAAAAATGAGGAGGAGGGAATACTGCTGGAGGGAGAGAGGAGGAAGATAAGGATGTTTCTGGAAAGGAGGAGAAAATGAAGTGGAGGAGGAAATGGATGGAGGAAAACAGGAGGAGGAGAGGAAGCATCCGGAAAGAGGAAGATGGATGGAGAGAGAGAGCTGGGAAGAACAGGTGATGGAGGATCTACTGATGGGTTTCACTGATTCTGCTCCCACAGCGCCCCCTGCTGTCAGACTGCAGGAACAGCAAACCTTCAGCCTGAAACCAGAAACAACCAGCAGATTCCCACTGATCCCAGTATTCCCAGAGGAACCAGCTGAGTCGTCCCAGTTGGTTCAACAAACTGCTTTAAACTGTAGGATTAAACTTTAATTCATGTTTCATTTTGAGCCTGGTTCTGATCCAAACCTCCAGGTTCCAACACATTTACAGTCAAAACTTCCCAGAATTCCCAGCGAGTTCACTGTGTTGATTATTTCTCAGCCTAATCCAGGCCTGGAGAATCCTTAAATTAACCTGGAATGAAACATCCTGGGATCAGAACCTCAGCGGATCATCCGGTCTGACAGAAGAATCCTGATTCCGAACAGATTCCCGATTGGAACAGTTCTGGAGGATCCCTGAATGACCTGGTTCCCGGCCTCACCGGATCTGCTCGTCCGTCACGGTGAAGGTCTTGCAGAGCGGCTGGGTCGTGTTCAGCCAGATGGCCGGGTTCTTCTCGGCCGCCGCCGACGTCTGACCCGTGATCGGCGCCGAGCTCATGTGCAGGGCGCTGGCGATGGCCGACAGCAGGACGTCGTCGCCGGAGTCCGGCCCGATGCCTGCGGACAGGAGAGGTCAGGGGTCAGGGGTCGGAGGTCAGGCCGGGTTCTGCTGGAGGTTTGGGTCTTACCCTGCAGGCCTTTGGGCAGGTCCATGCTGCGCAGAACCTGCTCTGTGATGTCCGACGACCGCAGGCCCGTCAGACGCTTCTCCCAGAACAGCTGCAGAACAAACACAGGCTATGAGCCGGACCAGAACCAGAACCAGAGATCATCAGAACAGCTGCAGAACAAACACAGGCTATGAGCCGGACCAGAACCAGAACCAGAACCAGAGATCATCAGAACTGCTGCAGAACAAACAGGACCAGAACGTCTGATTGGTTCTCGAGGTCATAATGTTCTGCCTGATTGGTTTATAATCGTGTGTGCTCATTGGTCGTCTCTTCTCAGAGCTGATTCCTGATTGGCTCCTCGGCCCCGTCTGGTGGTGGCCGGTTGCCATGACAACCCGGGCCCCGCCCTCACCTGTCGCGGCTGCTCCACGGCTCTCTGCAGGTCCGTCTTCACCTTGTTTCCGGGGTGACTGGTAACCTTGGTAACGGGCTGTTTGAAGATGGAGGCCGTCTGTCTGATGGGCAGAGCCGTGTTCAGGTCCGGTTTGCCTCCCTGCAGGGAAACAGAAACAGGTTGGGGTCGGTCTGATGCTGCATTCATTCATTCATCCACTCAGCATGAACCTGCCAGGAGCTGCAGGGTTAACTCATCGCCGTGGCAACTACAGGAAGTTCCTGAGTGAGGATGTGTGAACAGCTCAGTGTCTCTCTCTCTCTCTCACACACACACACACACACACACACACACACACACACACACACTGGTCCAGTCTGACTCTAATGGTTCTGGTTCTGAGACTCTGGGTCGGTTCTGGAGTCAGTTTCAGATCCTGTTCCAGACGAGCCGGGTCAGAACGGACCAGAACCACAGTTCTACAGAACCTGCTTTGGCCTTACAGGCAGTGGGCATGCAGCACAGGGGCGCAGCAGAGGGGGCCTCTGGAGGGCCGGAGCCCCGATGATGTCTCAGCGCCTTACGCTCCTTCACCCTGCGCACATGACGAGGTGAAGGGGCGAGTTTTACCTTTCACATAACGTCGTCTGGGGGGGCGTATGTTTTCCACGCTCCTTCAACCTTCCTTCGGGGGGGAGGGGGTGGGGGGCCCGATTTATGTTTTCGCATCCACCTGAATAATGTGTAGTTGTGCCCCTGCTTACAGGTTCTGATAACGGGTTCTGCTGAGGTCTCATTTGGACTTCTGCTTTTTCACCGCTTCACAACAGAACCCGACCTGAACCAACTGTGTCCTGATTCTGAACTGATTCTTTTTCTGAACAGATTCCTGAACCTAAAGAGATTCCAGTGTCTGAAGCATTTCTCCTCTGACCTCTGACCCTGATTAGATTCATGATTTTAAACAGAATGAACAAAATCTAGAATGACTTTGAACAGATTCCTGATTCTGAACAGATTCCTGATTCTGAACAGATTCTCCAGTGAACCGTCTGCTGCCTCCCAGCAGGAGAATCTCTGTTAATCTGCATAAGCCCCGCCCCCTTTATGGCCACACCCCATCATTCCCTCGTTTGGGTCCGCCCCATCGTAGCTCCGCCCCTACCTTGGCCAGGTTCTGTGCGTCGTGTCGGAACCGCTGCTTGTTCTTCTGCAGTTTTCCGGGCATCATCTTCCCGGTCCGGAAGTCGAAGCAGGCCAGGTCCACGGCGTTGCCGAGGTAACGGGCCAGCTGCGGCTTGCTCCGGAACTTCTTCCCTGTCGGACTGGAGGAGACAAGACAACCGGGTCAGTCCGGACAAACTGGACCTGCAGGTTCTGACGGGTCCGGCTCAGTCTCAGGACGTTCTGCTGCAGATTGGGTCACATTCTGGGAAAATAACTGAGCTGCTCAGAGAGGTTCTGATTAATCACGATTGATTGATTAGTGAAATAATCATCAATATGTAAAGACAGATTATTGGCTTATTAACATCTTTAAGGTGTTTCTAATATTGTATAAAATGTTTAAATGTTTAAATCAAAAATCTGGAACAAATATTTTTATCTGATTAATCAATTAATAATCAATTAATCGTCAGAATAATTACTAAAATGATTGTTATTTGCAGCCAGAGTCCAAACTGGGTCAACAGAACTATGATCTACAACAGCTGAAAAAGAAAATAATCCAGCTGCTGCAGTGGCCTAGTCAAAGTCCTGATGTCAGCCGGATGACTCAAGCTGCTGCAGTGGCCTAGTCAAAGTCCTGATGTCAGCTGGATGACTCAAGCTGCTGCAGTGGCCTAGTCAAAGTCCTGATGTCAGCCGGATGCTGAGGTGAGCTGCTGCAGTGGCCTACTCAAAGTCCTGATGTCAGCTGGATGACTCCAGCTGCTGCAGTGGCCTAGTCAAAGTCCTGATGTCAGCCGGATGACTCAAGCTGCTGCAGTGGCCTAGTCAAAGTCCTGATGTCAGGCGGATGACTCAAGCTGCTGCAGTGGCCTAGTCAAAGTCCTGATGTCAGCCGGATGACTCAAGCTGCTGCAGTGGCCTAGTCAAAGTCCTGATGTCAGCCGGATGCTGAGGTGGGCGGCTGTCCGGTGTGAGTCACTGGGAGCCACTGGGAGCTCTGGGCTCAGACTGGAGCTGCTGCTCTTCCAGTAAGCTGCTGACTGACTTCCTGACTAGCTGATGAGTCACCTCCCGGCCCGACCCGACCCGAAACTCAGCCTTTCAGGAAGTGGCGGAGCCGGCAGCGGCGGCGCCCAGCAACAGGAAGCGCCGGCGGGCGGCCGCTACCTCGCCGCAGCTCAGGCAGGCCTGCAGCGGGAGCCGCTTCCTGTGGCCCCGTGCTGCAGCAGAGAAGAAGAAGCTGCAGTCCACTCCGACCCCATCTGCTGATGCATGATGGGAAAAGTCCAGACTGGATGACGGCAGAGCAGCAGCAGGCCCGGGTCGGCAGGTCCGACTCAAAACAAGTTCAGCTGTACCAAACCTCACCACTAGATGGCAGCATGCGTGACAGCCTGTCCCTTTAAGAGGGTCTGGAGGAGATCTGGGTTTAGAAGTAGATGTGAGTCGGGTCTCTGTGTTCTTCTGGGTCAGCTGTGGTTCTGGACCTGGAGGCCATTTTCTCTCCTTCTTATTGTTGAATCATGACCTCTGACCTTAACTGAAGCGGTGAGGCCTGCAGAGCTTCAGATGCTGCTTTAGTTCCTCAGGGGCCCCAAGTTAGCATGATACATACTTAGCATGCTGACTATACCATGCTAACTAACATATGCTAACTAAACATTTAATGTAACAAAGAAGCAAAGGTTGAGCCGCTTTAAAGGCAACGAACAGAACGGACTCAGGCTAACCAGCAGGAGTTTATAATCAAGTTCTCAAGACCCCGCTTTTATTTTGATAGTACACTTCCACTTATCTGCAAGAAAATTTGCACATTAGCTCAATATTTAATTCTGAGCTAGCTAAACATTTAGTTTGTGTACTACAAGTTTAGCTAACTTGGAGCTATTTGGATATTTAGCAAGCTCAAAATTTAGCTAGCTCTAAGCTAGATTGGAGCTAAATACTTATGTTGAGTTAAATATTTAGCTACTAACTAAATATTTAGCTTGCCAAGTATTTAGTTAGTTAACTGAATACTTAGCTTGCACAAAGCTAACCAAATATTTAACAATCTCAAAGCTAAATTGGATTTAAATACTTAGCTAAATATTTAGTTCCCATATTAGTTTGTAGCTTGACAAGTAAATATTTAGCTTGCTAGCTGAATATTTAGTTTGAAACTGTGACATTTATAAATGCCGTTTTTTCTCTCATGACAGGCTAAATAACCCAAATTATGACTGTTAATTTCTGACTGTTACTAACAGCACCCTTTAATAAACCATATTCAGTCCATCCTCTTCAATCAGGACATCAAAGCCCAATAAATAAATAATAAACCAGAACATACTGGGCCCGCTCCAGCCTACTTCAGACTGTCAGTCGGGTTCTGGTCAAGTGATTTCTTCATTCTAGGGTCAGGCAGTGAGCAGGCCTGAGGGATTTAAATAAATGTGAATTAATTATTTAACCGGGGTGTGAATACTTTCTGCGTGGTGGAAACGTGTCGTTGGGTCAGAAAGCAGAATCCTGCAGCGGGTGTGAAAACTTTCACAGGTTCCGTTTGTTGGCTCGGTTCTAGAAATGAATTATTCTGGACTATGAACAGAACCGTCCTGAACTGGGTCAAATAATCCGGGATTAATCTGGATCAGAGCAGAAGTTGCTGGAATGAAGTGAAAGCAAACAGAACCTCGGAACCGGCCGGCCCAGTCCCAGTAGTTCCCGTCAGTTCCAGTAAACAACTGGTTCTGTGGAAAAACACTCCCAGCGGGACATTTCTGGAACCGCAGAGCCGTTTCCCATAAACACAATGTACTTCTCAGAGTAGGACGGCTCGGTTCGGACCAGCAGCTGCTGGTTCCGAACTGATGGATCACCTGTAGTAGTAGACGTCGCTCTTTCCGGCGCTCAGCCCGGACTTCCTGATCACTTCCTCCTTCTTCCAGCCGGGCGGCAGCGCCGGACAGTCCGTCCTCTTCCTCTCCATCACCGCGGGGCTCCCGGTCCGGATCGGTTCCGCTCAGTCCCGGACAAACAGGCGGCGCGCCGAGCTCAGGCGGACCGACGTCACCAACGTTAACGGCAGCGGTCCCGCCCCGGTTCGGCTTCTCTCGGCTTTAACTCGGCCAGAAAGTGAAACCCGGCTCGGACAGTTCTGTGACCCGGGAGGTCCGGACTGGATACGAGGTTCGGTTCCGAGTGTTCGCGGGAAGAACCGGTGGGTCACAGCAGCTGAACTGGAGCTGAACCGGACCAACGGCAGACTGTGACGTCTCAGTCGGATCGCACTTCTACGACTGGCTCACGCCCGAAGATCGTCTGTTGCACAAGATGACTCACTCCTGACTCAAAAACGTCTGAAACTACAGAACGTTTACAGTTCCGGGATTAATCTTAATAGTATTTCCGCCTGAATAACCAATCAGAAAACAGAATGCAAAGAAACCTCTGAGCCGAGAATAAAGTTAAAAACAAACTTTAAGTGACATATATATGTGTAGTTGACAAATAAGCTGTAATAAAAATAGTTTATATTTCTTATTTTATGTATTAATTTAATTATGTGTTCTTGCTGTTTTGTTTCCATGTGGATCATATATTGTGAACAAAAATTAACTTTCTAAACACGTATATATATATATATATATATATATGTTTTTTTTTACATCCGGAAAAATGTTTTTCAAATAAACTAGTTGTGTTTCCCTTAAATCTGAAGAGAGGGATTGGCGCAGTCTGAGGCATCATGGCGCTAATAAAAACGTGCTAGGAGACTCCAGCTTCTGCCCGGGTTAACCCACCGACTCATGTCCGCCTCTTATTACCAGCAATACCTTTAGAATTAAGTAAATTCTTTCAGAAGTATTTAATGTGATGAATCAAAACACTGACCTCTATTGTTGGTATCAGATTCGTAGGTTTTTGTCTGAGAATGAAAACGCAGCAGGAACTCCGCAGCTGGCCCTTCATCCCAGGATGGCCAAATTACTGCGGCGTTTCCACCATATCAGGTGTAAAACTCCAGTCCTGCAACTGTTAGATGTTCCTCTGCTGCAGCACCTGAAGAGCATAATTAGGTCATCAAGGCTCTGGAGACCTGATCTGAAGCCGTTTCATTCCGGTGTTTTCTACCTGTGGCTCATCTAAAACCTGCAGAGGACTGGAGTTAGAACTTAAATTTATGGATGACGTCGACTCTTTATTTGGCATTAACAGAATATGCATGGAAAAACTAAGTCATTTGGAAAACGAACTTTATTCAGAGGCACAAATGCTGGGCAGCTCCTCTACCATAGCTACAAATCAACTCAATTTCTAAATGATCATAAATGATTTAAGCGTTATCTGATAAATTTGTTGAAATTCTGATAAGACTAAAATAAACAAATTCACTCATCTTTTGTACAAGTGTCAACATAAACCTTAAATACTTACTGTAGATAATATAAACTTCTATAAAGTGAAAACATTTAGCGTTTACTGCGTGTTCTTGAACTCAAAGCTGGTGTAGAAACAGGAGGTCTCACTTCAACACAAATTCAGTGTTTGATGCTTTTCTGGTTAAAACATGTTTGATCTTCAGTGAATTTACTCAGGAATTTTATTTAAAAAGTGAAACTCCATAATATTACTCTAGTCCAGTGAAGTGAAACTCCTGAAATGATTTTTTTAAAGCTACTGCAGTGAGTGTTAGGTGGAACCTGAACATGGAGACAGAGACTGGACTGTTTTAAACAAATATTTTATTCATGATTTTAAAACAGAAATGTTTTATTCATGATTGTAACAGATAAAGGAAATGATGTGTAACAGCAGAGCGTAAACAGAGGAATGATCAGAACAGGAAGTAGAGCTGAAACTCAGCAGGAAACATGGAGTCATGATCTGGAGTCTCGATCAGGTCATGATGTGGAATGTCTTTCAGTCATAGCTAACGATGCTAAGGTAACCATGGTAACAGACACGTCTAGTACTCCTCCCCCTCCTCGTCCTCGCCCTCCACCGAGTCGACGCCCACCTCCTCGTAGTCCTTCTCCAGGGCGGCCATGTCCTCCCGCGCCTCTGAGAACTCGCCCTCCTCCATGCCCTCGCCCACGTACCAGTGGACGAAGGCCCGCTTGGCGTACATCAGGTCAAACTTGTGGTCGAGGCGCGCCCAGGCCTCGGCGATGGCCGTGGTGTTGCTGAGCATGCAGACGGCGCGCTGCACCTTGGCCAGGTCTCCGCCCGGCACCACGGTGGGCGGCTGGTAGTTGATGCCCACCTTGAAGCCGGTGGGGCACCAGTCCACGAACTGGATGGAGCGCTTGGTCTTGATGGTGGCGATGGCGGCGTTGACGTCCTTGGGCACCACGTCGCCGCGGTACAGCAGGCAGCAGGCCATGTACTTGCCGTGGCGCGGGTCGCACTTCACCATCTGGTTGGCGGGCTCGAAGCAGGCGTTGGTGATCTCGGCCACCGTCAGCTGCTCGTGGTAGGCCTTCTCGGCCGAGATGACGGGCGCGTAGGTGGCCAGGGGGAAGTGGATGCGAGGGTACGGCACCAGGTTGGTCTGGAACTCCGTCAGGTCCACGTTGAGCGCGCCGTCGAAGCGCAGCGACGCCGTGATGGACGACACGATCTGGCTGATGAGGCGGTTCAGGTTGGTGTAGGTGGGGCGCTCGATGTCCAGGTTGCGGCGGCAGATGTCGTAGATGGCCTCGTTGTCCACCATGAAGGCGCAGTCCGAGTGCTCCAGGGTGGTGTGGGTGGTGAGGATGGAGTTGTACGGCTCCACCACCGCCGTGGAGACCTGCGGCGCCGGGTAGATGGAGAACTCCAGCTTGGACTTCTTCCCATAATCCACCGAGAGGCGCTCCATCAGCAGGGAGGTGAAGCCGGAGCCGGTTCCGCCGCCGAACGAGTGGAAGACCAGGAAGCCCTGCAGGCCGGTGCACTGGTCAGCCTGCAGAGGAACAACCGGGTCAGAACCCACAGCTGCTGCTGCTTTAGGCCGTCATCATGACTAATGATGTTAGATGATAAAAAAATCATAGCAGAAATTTAAGATCATTTTCAGGTAACGCATGATAACGACATGATGGTTTAACATCTAAAAATCATTTTAATTAACAATCAAATTAATAATAAAACTTCCAGACGGCAGCAGACTGAAGACTCATCATCCAGGTTCTGTTGCAACCGTCCCAGTTCAGAACTCACCAGTTTACGGATGCGGTCCAGAACCGGGTCGATGATCTCCTTGCCGATGGTGTAGTGGCCGCGGGCGTAGTTGTTAGCAGCGTCTTCCTTCCCGGTGATGAGCTGCTCAGGGTGGAACAGCTGGCGGTACGTCCCGGTCCGAACCTCATCTACAAAAATAATAATAAATTTAACTCCTGGGTCACTTTATTTACATTAAGAAAACCTCAAGTAACTCATTTAAAATACATTTTATTACAAAATATAAACAGTCATGAAGGTATGAGACAAAATCTGTGAAAAATAAAATTGAGCTCTTCTGCTTCTCCCAGTGCTAACTAGGAACAACCAATCAGAGCCGGGGGGCGTGTCTCCACGCTGTCAATCACTATGTAAAAACTATTTTTCTTCTAAGAGTTACTGCAGCTTTAAGCCATGAACTCGGATTTTTACCGATGACGGTGGGCTCCAGGTCCACGAACACGGCCCTGGGGACGTGCTTCCCTGCGCCGGTCTCACTGAAGAAGGTGTTGAAGGAGTCGTCTCCCCCGCCGATGGTCTTATCGCTGGGCATCTGTCCGTCCGGCTGGATGCCGTGCTCCAGGCAGTACAGCTCCCAGCAGGCATTCCCGATCTGGACGCCAGCCTGGCCGACGTGGATGGAGATGCACTCACGCTGCAAACACACAAGCAGCAAAACGGCTTCAGATGATTTCACAGAACACCATCTGATAAAGGCTGCAAAGCTACAGAGATACTGATTTTTACTTTCCATTTGCAAAACATCTGCTGCAGAATTTATACTTCAAAAGGTATTCATATCTTCTGCCTAAAAATGTTTTATTTAATACCAAAGCTCAGCAACATTTTAACAGCCATAACTTTATTTTTACATCTTCATCCACTTTGTCCACTCCTAGTTCTGTTTTGTTGACATTGAGCTCTTTTCACTAATGTTGATTTTGAACCTTTTTTGAAGCCGTTTACTTAATGACTGATTTATAATCCTAATCAAAGCTCCAACAAATATTTTATTCATCATCTCTGAAAAGATCTAAATACAAACTAAACATTTATGAAAGTGTGTGAAAACAACAAAATGACAAGCAAGTCAAAGCATGTAGATACAAAGACAGCAAGAATAAAACACACTGAATAAGGTAAAAATTTACTGCATAAAAAATGCACTGAAATTATATTTTAAAAAGTCTGCTACGATTCAATGAAATAGAGGATCGAGTGGAATAATTTAATAAAATGTACATGTTTTTAATTTAACAGTAAAATAAAAAGCGGGAAAATACAGCAACTGAAATTTAAACACGGCGCACATTCCATTTTGATTGGCTGTCGGTCTCGATAGCCCCGCCCCCAGCTCCCGGAGGGAAGCGGGTCCATCCTTCGGCCCAGCTCCAAATTGGCGTTGGTAGAACCCGGTTAGCGGTGCTAACAGAACGGATCGAGGCTAAGCAGCAGCAGCAGGGCCGGTTCGGAAGGAGAAATCTCAAAGAGTTATGATTAAACAGGGCCGCGGTCTTCAGACGGTTTGGCTGATCCCGAGCACGTGACCCTAAGGATTAAGGGCGCGAGCTGGAACCGTTAGTAGTTCTCTACATCTTTTTAAAAGTGCGCAGTGACTGACAGAAAAAACGATCAAATAATGCCCAGAAAATCTACCATCCTACCTAAGACTTATGTTTGAAGTAAAAACCCGGGCAACTAACGACTGAGATCAATTCGAACCAAAAGCCGCGTTGAAGCGGTTCTGAACAATTAAAAGGATACTTTTAGTACCACAGAAAAAATCCGGTTCTCCTTTCCTGAACTTCCTTTATAAGCACACATTCCCATAAAAATACTTTCTTAAGATTTTCGAACAATTCTTACCATTTTGTGTAGTTGTTTTTGAGGTAAACTTCAACAAAAAAAAGCCTTGAAAGGGGGTGGAAGTCTTACGGATCGACTGTTAGGCGGTCGAGGAAAGACAAAATGGAGACACTACAGGCGGTACGCTCCGCTTTATGTAATGTACCACCAGGCCGGAGGGGGTTGGACTGTACCACTGGGTGTAGGGGCGGGGGTGTCATAAAACTAACTAAAATGACTTATTTATGAATCTCGCAGGGTTATAAAATCAAAACAAACTAAA